ATTTTAGTAACGTAACGCCAGGTAACGTCACGTCAGAGAATTCAGATGATTAAACATAAAGCAGACAAGATTTTTACATTTCAATACTTGGAAAATTAACCTTGAACATTTTCAATATTACCAGAAAAGCTTTTATACAATTCGCGGAGTTTTGCAATTTTGTAATCGACTTATGTTTTTTGTAACGTCACGCCAGCGCGTAAGTTTACTAATATCTTTAAATAGCTACTACCAACAGTTGTAATTTTTTTTACTGAATAAGGGGTCATTTAATTGCTATGCAAATCTGGAAAACATTTTTAAATTTTGACTTTTTCACTTCTTTTTTTTTGAACATTTTGTATTACGATCGTCACGTAACGCCCATATACGATTATCCATAGGTTTCTCGAAAACGGCTCTAAAATCTAGGTATTACCTCCGAGAATACTCGTTAAAGGTTGCTACCTATTCGAAATTAGTTGGAAACTAAATAAAACGTGATATTATATGTATCAAAAAAAAAGGTTGTTGGCCACTCAAGCCGAAGGGTTAGAGGTGCGTTCTACCACTGCGATGACCTGTAATCGAGTCCCGGTCAAAGCAATGTCGCAAAAAAACAAAATATAGAAAACACTTTTTTACTTAACACCGCACATACGGACGAATCTAGAATCTAGGACGACCAAAATGTTTACCCCAAATGTATTTGACAGATTTCTATGAAACTTGGTATTTAGGGGTTTTCGTTATCAATGATTTCAAAATTGATATACAATTTTCAAAGTTACAAATGGCTGATTTAACATGGCGGATGATTTTTTAAAACAAATTATGGATTATAATGAAACTTGATAGCTAGGAACTTGCAGTTACTGATTAATCGCGAATTAAGATCCTTATAATTGAAATCATGAAATTAGAAAACTTTTACATATTAAATACACAGTAGGGAGGCGAAAATATCGCAGCTAAATGGCTAAACACTTAAACTTAATTTTGACTTCTAGAGTACGATAATATTTCCAGAAAATTCGTATCACGCAAAAATTTTAAGATATTTAGCGTGGAAGTTTTATGAAAAAAATGAAACTTTAACAAGGGAAAATTAAAATAAAAAGTTGTATTAAAGCATTTCTTTACGAAAAAATCAAGCTACTAACATAGAAAATCGGTGGATAAATAAATAGGCAAATTAAAATGAGTAATAACCTTTTTGTATGAAATATAAGCAAACAGCACGATATATTTACTTAGCATACTCGTATTAAATGGCGTATGAGTAGTATTTTCCGCTATTTTGAAATTTGATGATACATATTGTCAATTTCGTAATGAGTGAACCCGAAACCCCCTGGATACCAAGCTTCGTAACAAACTATAATTTTTTTTAAAAACCCGTCCGCCAAATTGATCTGCCATTTTGAGTTTAACAAATTTAATATCATATTCGTAATCAGTGTCCTCGAGAACCTTTATGTATCAAGTTTCACTTAAATCAGGTAAATACATATGAAGTAAATATAATTGTCGTCCTACTCCGACTTACGAAAAAGATGATCTATTTAACGAAGGGGGAAACGTGGGGAGGAGTTCTTGATATTTTTACATTGGCAGTTTGTTGGAGTCTCGAACTATTGGAAGAGAAGTCGCTGTACTCGTTGGAACTTTTTCATAACTCTAACTAATATAACAATTCGAAATTTGTTTAAATAAAACTGGTATTTTATAAAATATGTATGTAATATAGCCATTCTACAAACAATTATATTATTAATAAAAATCGCAAAATTAAGTACTTACCTCACGCTTCACTATCCATGTTGACACAACCGTAGAAATCTTAGAGAAAATGGTTCCCAATCGAATGATGCTACTGTACCAAACACCCACATCACCCTTTCCAATAACTACCACTTTGCCTCATAGGTACGGTATTGATAACATATCGTCGGTGATACTGCACAACGGTATATGTCTATTAGTACCATTGACACTTAGATGGTTCTTACTGGCACCGGAATGCATCTGCAAATCGTTACACCCCAATAAACGAATGGGTTCAAGCCCTGGTCAAAGCAACATCGCAAAAGAGTGTAGAAAAAAGGTTTTTTCTTAACAGCGGTCGCCTCTCGGCAGGCAATGGCAAACATCCGAGTGTATTTCTGCCATGAAAAACAGCTTCTCAAAAAAATACAATCGCCGTTCGGAGTCGGCGTAAAACTGTAGGTCCCTCCGCTTTGTGTGACAACATCAAGGCGCACGCCCCAAATCGGAGGAGAGGCTCGGCCACACACTAACATATGTGTAAGCGCCAATATATTATTATTAGTATCAGGTTCACGGAGCTTTGCTCGGAGTGCATATACTTTTTAAGGTTTTCAAAGTTTGGGTATCAAATACAGGCCATTTGGATAGCTTTAGAAAAAATATTTTGGAAAGAAATTAAAAAAAAAAAATGGATTTCGTAACTAAATTACTTACTTCAAAATTTAGGTGACACCCCTATCTAGAAATACCTTGGAATGAATAGTACATATCTTGAGACTATATGTAGTGTGTATACATACAAAGAAATTGCTGATTGAAATTAACAAAATAAAAATGTGTCTAACATAGATGCGTAGCAACCCTGATCGAAAACATTTTCGGACCAAACTTCTCACCAATACCTTTCGTTTGATATCCATATTGCGATGTTTTAGATAAATTTTGTAGAATCGAAAATTGGTGGCAACCTTACACTAATATCCTAAGGGATAACACTTAGTATATAGTGAAAGCATTGTTTAAGAACCTTCTCTTGGTACCCATGAAAAGTAACTTTGTTCTTTTATTTTCTAAACAAAAAATAAATAAATATGCGATTCAAAATGGGTGGCAGCCCTTTAAAAACATTTTTGAAGTAGGGATTTTTAAAATACCTTCCATTCGATACCCATCTTATGAGGTTTTAATTAAGTTGTAACTAATTTCGAACTACTGATAACATATGTATGTAGCTGTGCCATATTTCAGGACGTTTGCGTAAGCGGCTCCCGAGATAACCAATATAGGGAGTTCAGTTTGCATGGGAGGTTCCACGCCCCCCTTTTCTAATGCCTGCCACTTTTCGCCATAAGTACGGTGTTATACTTTTACAAAAAATGGTGCCGACAGAAGGCGCTGGATTCGAAATCTTTAGAGAATCCATTTTTATAATACGACCTGGATCAACGGGTATTAACTATATGATAAGATAATAATTTTTACATTACAAACCGTTTTTGCATTCAACAATATTTTTGCATTGGTCAACGTAAAAGTTTTTATCGGGCGTTGCGGAGCAAGCCGGGCATTTAGTAGTTCTGAACAAAAAGTTTAAAATTTTGATGACTTTGTTTTGAAATTTGTTTAATTTTTCTGAATTGTGAATATTGTAAAAAAATAAATGTGTGCTATTTACGTGAGTGCCACTGTATATCAAAGGTATAACATTTATGTACCTATGTATGTTATTTTTACTTAATGGAAATGTTTTTCCCATTCATATAATGGCTTATTATTGATTTTTTAATAAATGAATTTACTAAAATGCATAAAATGGTTTACTGCAGCGTCTGTTCATCAGTAGGTGTGGCTGTAAGCGGGCGTCTGTCTTGGAAATGAAGGATGAGGCGCCCAAGGATCTGTTCTATGAGCGCTTGGTGCGCACATACGAACGCTGCCCCCGCCATCATGTTTGGCGACTTCAATGCCAGTGTGGGAAAGGAAGGGATCTTTGGAACCCCCGTCGGAAAATTTAGCCTCCATGACTAAACGTCCGACAACATGGTAGTATGCAGGACTAGGTTCAAGCATACAAAGATCCATCAAGCTGGCTATCTTTAAAAAGAACTAAAAAACGGAAAACCAAATCGATCATGTTGTGATAGACGGAAGGCACGCTGTCAATGTTAGGGACGTACATACGCACACTTCGAGGACCAAACATCGACTAGGACCACTATCTTGTTGTAGCCAAGATACGCACCCGCCCCTGTGCAGAAAAAATGTGCGCCCAAAAATTCAAGGAAAGCTTAACGTCGAAAAGCTGCAGCCACAGCAGACGGTCAAATCATTCGCTACTCGATTCTCACATGTGCTCGACTTATGCGGGCAGTGGAACCACATCTCCCGTTCATTAAGTACCGCCGCCGAAGAAGTAGTCGGATTTCAGCGAGCCAGAAATAACAACTGGTACGATGGGGAGTGTCAAGAAGCTACAGAGAAAAAAATGCCGCCTATAAAGTAGCGCTGCGATCGGGAACAACGCGAGCCGTGTGGGACCGTTATAGGGAATTCAAAAGGCAGAGACGTATCGGCCGCAATAAGAAGAGACGGATCAGTAGATAACGCTGAAGCCGATGTCACACCACCTAACTATGATGATGTACGAATAGCTTTTATGCGGCTGAAAAACAACAAAGCTGCTGGAGCTGACGGCCTGCCAACCGAGCTATTCAAGTACAGCCGCGGGGAACTTATAAGGTGCATGCAACTACTCTTATGCAGAATCATGATTCAATAATACAAGGTTGGATAAATATTGACATTTGTGTCAATCGACTGCCTTGTAAGGTTGCATTTAAGAAGGAAGAGAAACCGGGTAACCATTTTATCCCCTTTTGTGAAAAGGTAGTGGGAAAATTAGTGTGGTAGTGCTGAAATGGGTTTTTTTTAAATTTAATTAAATATATGAAGCGGATTTCACCGATCTACACAATAGACAATGAATTAACTTTTTGATGGTATAATAAACATGCCATATAGATATTAAAATGAAATAAATGAATATTCACATAAAATTCTGACCAAAGAAAAATCGTATCGACAAATATTCCCAAATATTCAAAATAAACCATGGTTGCATTGAAATTCCAGTATATATTAAACAAAATGAATGGAATTTAAACAAATCCTTTATTCAAAGGGTCTATATGAAGAAATATACAAATAGTAATGATGTAATTGATATAATGCATATAAATGAATCCCTTAAAAATTATATTTGTTGCATTTAAAAATTACATTTTAAATATCTTGAATTGAATTATATTTGGTTTTTTACAAATTTAGATTGTTTAGTAATGTCTTCTACTATTTTCTCCAATCAGTCTTGCTAATCATTATATTGGGTACATTGAAAAGTTAGATCTTGAGTATCCTAATTTAATTACATTTGGTTTTTTAGTTAGAATTTAATTGTACGAACGAATTTTATGAACGGTTAGTACACTAGACTTTTTCCACTTATTAAAACTTACATACAAAACACACACCGTCTTCAAAACAGTCACAACTCAAAATTTGTAACTTTTGAAATTATGCACAGAGCTTCTATTTAACTTTCAGCAAAAGCTGCAGAAATTTTTTTTTTATAATTTGTTAAAAAAAACCTAAGGTAAAGTCGCCCTGTGCCTGTGTCCATGTGATTACCATGTGCTAAGAAATAGTTTTTCGCATTTTCTTACAAACGTATTATCTGAGTTGTGACTCTTTTGAACACGTTGTGCGATATTGTAAAGGCCTTGCGCTAAAAGTGGGCTGCGTTACGATGATGTTGAGCTTGCGGTAAGGAAAAAGTTGTACCTGCGATCAGATTAGAATCCTGGAAGTACATAAAAATCGCTCCACCAGCGAATGTAGACGGGCACACAAATGATCCGGACCTGCACAGGAAAATATATTTATTAATATTTGTACTTTCAATTTTATGGGGTGGTATACATACTTGTAAATATGCAAAGGCTGTAATAGGGAGAATCCCTGCACCCGCGAATGTAGACGGACACACAGATGATCCGGACCTGCACAAGAAAATATCTTTATTAATATTTGCACTTTCACTTTTATGGTGTGGTATACTTACTTGTAAATATGCAAAACTTTACGTCTTGTAAAACTCTAGTTCTTTAATACGAATTGTGAATAACTCGGAGACTCTGCAAAGAAATACATATGTAAATTATTGTTTTAATTCAAAATATTTTCATTATTTTGGATTTTTTTGGCATACTTACTTGAATTTGCGCAATAAGAAAATGAAAACAAAACAAACAAACAAACAAAAACAATCGATGAAAATATCGGCAGTGTTGCCTGTTGAACTTTTTATACGAACACAATATTTCTCCTTGTATTTTAGTAGTAGTTTCTATAAATCAAAAAAGGTAGAATGCGGGAGCGAGACAACTGCCAGGTTATCCAACCTTGTATTATTGATGATGCAGAATATGGTCAGACGAACGCATGCCCGATGACTGAAATTTAAGTGTGACCAATCGACAAGAAAGGCAACCCCTCCATACGGGCCAACTACCGCGGGATTAGCCTTTCAAAATGGAGCGAACATTATGTTTCACGAGGGATTCTCGATCGGCGAAAAGTTAGAGAAAGGCTCGTAAACGATAAAACAAAAACAAAATAAAAGAAAGAGGTTGAAGTAATTTGTCAGCACAAGAAAAAATTTCCATTCTGTTGGAAGTTTTTCTTGAACCACAATATTTTATAATATATAATATTCGCATACGAATGCTTTTTCGATCCGTTTACGACTGTTCGTAGGCGATCGAAAAGTTCAAGCGAAAAAGTACTCGAAAACTAATCGTAAGCAGCTATCATAAACGACATTTTAGCCGGTTTTTCTTCGAGAAAATATCCAGTTTCAGTTCGTTTACGATGATTTTGCAGGGATGCATTTTTTTCAGCCCTTCTTGGGTAAACCGTTTGATACGCCTTCCCTAATTAAAGCCTGCCTCAATTATCATTTGGTAAGTTTCAGCAGCAACGCGTCTTTAATAAGTTGGCAATAGCTGTACAATTGTACGTACACATGCTTTTTAACCGACTTCCAAAAAAGGAGGAGGTTATCAGTTCGTCGGAATATTTTTTTTTTATTATTTTTTTTATGTATGTTACCGCATAACTTTGGACCACGTCAACCGATTTCGATAATTCTTTTTGCATCGGAAAGGTAGTGTCTCAGAGGTGGTCCCATACTAATCTGGTTAAGATCCGATCAGCGGATCATGAGATATATATATATATATTTTTTTTATATGGGAGTTGAAGTCGGTTTTTTTTTCTAAAAATTACTAGTATTTAACGCTTTTTAATACTACTCTTGCATAATTTTGCACACTTTTGCTAATTACTTTGTAGAACTGAGTCTCATATTGAATGTACTTCAACATGTGCCGGGTAACCCGAACACCAGAGCACCTGATGAAGTACAATAGACATGGGACATTTGGTGAGTCAAAAAAAAAGCAAACACTTTCATACTTACCATCGGTACTCAATGCCTATGTACTTTTATGCATAACCAGCTGTTGTTGACTTGACAGGCACTTCGCGCGCTACTTCAGGTACCTGACTGTATATAGATTAAAACCCAGTCCCGGTCACTGATTAGCGCGCAAAGTACTTGACATCGTAGCTAAAGACAAAAAAAAAAACGTAGAACACCCGTAAATAAGACAAACGCTATTGCATGTCTATGAAAACTAAAAAATTAATAAAACATCAAAGTTAATAAATTACCAACCTTTTGTACATACGTTCGTGTGTATGTTTGTACGTGCAATTGCTGCTTCGCTTACAGTTAGCAACAGCACAAGCAGCAATGCACTTGGCCATATGATTACTCAGCGCAGCTCCAGACGGTCATAGGTATGCATTAATATTTATCAGCCTACCCACTCACCCAAACGTTGCGCGCCGCCGCCATGTGATAACTTCGTTTTGCTGTTGCTGGTGATGTTGGTGTTGGTGGTGATGGCGGTGGTTAGTCCACCGCAGTGGATCATTCAAAGGAAACGACCTTGTGGTCTCTCCATGAGAAACTTTAAGGTTAACGATCTGCTGCCTATTCAGCGCAACGTGAATGTTCACTGGATGACTTCATGTACAGATATCTATGTATATTTATACTCACACACACACACACATGTGCTTGGCACAATGCAAGTATTTGTTCACAAACTTGCATATTTAAATGTATATGAGTATGCCCGTACGTACAAAGGTTGCACACATGCGGTTTTCCGTCGCTGCTCGCGCTGCTGCTGCTGCTGCTGCTGTTGTCACTGCTCTACCTCGCCTCGTCGATTTTGGTGCAAAATAAGAGCAAACGAGCACTGCTGCTCACCATCCGACAGTCCAATAAAACGATCAGACTACCTACCGGGCGACCGTCACACCCGCCTAATGCAGTGCCAGCCAGTGTTGCCAGACATGCGCTTTTCCTACCAAAACTGGTAGGTTTTTTCCATTTGGTAGGTTGGTAGGCTAGATTGGATTTTGGTAGGTTCCGCGACAATAATAGTTATTTGCGAAAAATATAAAATATATCTCTACAAACATTTTAGCAACCTTGTTTACTTGAATATTTCACCGGTGGAGTCCACCTTTGTCCAC